TTTTTTTTTCTTTTTTGCCTGGTTTATCTTAGGAACTTTTATTGATGTTTGGCCTTGTGTAGACCAAGTATACTTGAGAAAGAGAAGCTTTCACTGCTTAAAGAATTAAGATGTTGATACAACATAATAATATGACCAAGACCCCCCCCCCATTCCTTCTTCTTCTCATCCTATATAATATAAAAGATTAAGAGGAAAGATTTCTTTTTTTTTTAATTTCAGAATATTACAAGGATACAGATGCTTTGTACTCTTATCTAATCTTTGGAGGAATAGCACAAAAAAGCCAAGGATGAGGAATTTTCCCCTTTTGCTTCCTGCCTGCCTGCTTAAGCTAGGACATTGGCCTTTGCCTACCCTTCAATTGGGACTTTAACAATTGGCTTCCATGATTCTCAGGGCTTTGGACTTGAACTGAATTCCGCCACTGGCTTCCCCGGGTCTCCAGCTTGCGGACAGCAGATCATGGGGCTTCTCGGCCTCCATAATCACGGAGCCAGTTGCTCATGCTAAGTCTTTTCCTTCTCTTGGTTCTCTGGAGAACCCCGATACGTGCTACTTCCAACCATGCAACTACAGTGTTGCACGTCAGCCTGGACTGAACGAGCCACCACGCAGGCATCTGCCAGAGGGCGTGATATAAACAACCTCTCGATATCTTCTGAAATGCAGATGAGAAAGGAGGCGATATTTAGGGAGGTTTCCTCGGAACAACCGTTACTGAATCTATTCACTCAGCACATCGGTTTCAAGATCCCCAGGACAGAGATGGATTCGCAGAGAGCCGGGGCCTCTGCCGTTATCACTTCGCCTACCTCACCCCTCCTCCTTCCTCATCCCCCTTCCAAAACTGCTTTTACACAGAGCATCATTACGTGAAGCAGGCCCGTGAAACTCACTTGTGTGCCCTCAATAAGACTGCGGCGGGAAACGCTCTTCATTACATCTCACAGTGTTTTCTTTATGAGGCCTCTGGGGAACAATTCCTGTCTGGCCACTGTGTGAACAACAGTTGGAATTTTCCTGAGCAATTGGTGTGTGTTTGTCTCGCAGACATCGTGAGCTGTAGATCCTGTGACAAGCCTTCTTTATCCCACTGGCGGCTGTGGTGCTTTGGGGCTCTGCTTGTGACCCGCCAGTAAGGAGCAGGTGCACAGACGCGTGGTTCTGACACTGTCACCAGCTCCGGTATGGTCTTTCCCTCCTATCTTGTGTTGCCTCACTTTTAATTTACACTATCTTGTCGTGTTTTTTTTTTTGCCCCATTGTAAGCTGCCTGAAAAACGCTCTGTGCAATAAGATGAGGTTTACATTGAAAAGCAGATACATAAAATGGGGAAGAGCTCCACGCCACATGTTTCTATCTGTTTTCTTCAAAACTTCAATTATGTTCGGCTTGTACGTCCTCCCACAGATAGGTCCGAGGTTTGGGGCGTGCAACTCAGAGCTGCAGCAGTAACAATCATAAAATAATTGGAAAACCCAAATAAAGTCGCTGAAAATATTGTGATCGTCCCCGCCTCATTCCCATGACCCAGTCGAGGCAATGCCACTGAAATGACAAAGCTTCTTGGCAGCCTAATACACTTTGATACTAATTATATTGAAAAGAGTAAATAACACTGCTGAAGACTGGAGTGGCAGGTGGAAGTTTATTATGTTCTCTCGTGGTTTGCAAGCAGCCCAGGGAAGCCAGCGGGGCAGCCGTGACTGTTATGTTCATTCTGCTGAGCTGCTAAGTAGCTAGGAAGAACCGTTAGCCCCTCTGGGTTCTAACTGCCCACGGATTTCCCAAGTGCAGGAAATGGGCTTAAATTCAAAATAGAAGTGACAGTATGAACTCTCATCAAAGTGTGTAGAGAGACGGCTGGGCAAATGAGCATGGGAAAATATGTTCAACATCACTCATCATCGGGGAAATGAAAATTAAAACCACAATGTGGGACATTACATATCTATGCAAATGGCTAAAATTAAAAAGATCGACCATATGGAGTGCTGGCGAGGATGTGGAGCAACTAGAACTTTCACAGACTGTTGGTGGGGAATGTAAAATGGTACACCCTTTTTTTTTAAAAAAAAAAAAAAAACAGCTTGTTGTTTTATAAAAATTTAAACACACAGCTATCAGATGACCCAGCCTTTCCACACCTAGGTATTTACCCGAGAGAAATGAAAGAATAGGTTCATACAAATACTGGCACATGAAAGCTCACAATGCCTTCTCTGTAATAGCCAGAGACTGGAAACAACCTAACAGGTGTCCATCAACAGGTGGATGGATAAACAAATCATGTGATATGCATACCATGAAATAATTTCTCAACAAAAAATAAATACATATTGTTACACACAGCAACATAGAGAAACCTCAGAATAATCGTGTTGGGTGAAAGAAGAGTGTACTCTACATGAGTCTATCTATATAAAATTCTAGAACATGCAAGCTAATACATAGTGTCAGAAAGCAGAGCAGTGGTTCCCTGTGACAGACAGGGCTGGGGAGGGCAGAGGAAGGGAACACCAGTGGGGACAAGGAAACTCTAAATATGATACCTATGGTCACTATCTTGATTGTGGTAATGGTTTCGCATGTAAACATATATCAAAACTTATCAGATGGTACATATTGTATCTCAATTATGCCTCAATAAAACTGTTTAGAAATATTTATCTACTTATTTAATTTTTTAATGTCAAAATATTAAGGGGGTAAAAATGTTTTCATTACATGGATACACCATATAATGCTGAAGTTAGGGCCTTCAGAGTGCCTGTCACCTGGACAGTGTCCATTGTACCTGACAGGTAAGTTGTTATCCCTCACCCCTCTTCCATCCTCTCCCCTTTCTTATTTTCCAATATCTTTTACACTCTCAGTTATTAGTGAGAACACATGGTATTAATTTTTCCATTCCTGATAGACAAATGGCCACCAAAAAATGAGAAAAATGTTCAACATCACTAATCATCAGGGAAATGGGAATTAAAACCACAAAGAAATACCACCTTACCCCTGTGAGAATGGGCATTACTAAAAAGCCCAAAAACAACAGATGCTGGCATGGATGCAGAGAAAAAGGAATGCTTATACACTGTTGGTGGGACTACAAAGTAGTACAACCCCTCTGGAAAACAGTATGGAGATCCCTCAAAGAACTAAAAGTAGACCTACCATTCCATCCAGCAATCCCACTGCTAGGTATCTACACAAAGGAATAGAATGTTTTTTAAATTATATATAGTCATAGCCACATGTGGTTGGTGGCTACCACACTGAACAGCACAGCTGTGCTGCCCGGGACTTGGTATTTGTGTTAGCCTTGACAAGTGGCTCTTAATGCTATAACAACCTGTGTTTTAGTTCTGTGTCTTGCCCTTGCCACTAACCCCCACCCAAGTGGTCCTTTCTCATCTTGCTTGGGAAGCAGGACCAATGAGCAGAAATAACAGGAATACAAATTTAAGGTTAAAACACTTTCCTGGTGGACTTTACTCATGTACCTGTTCAGACGGAGAACAGACAGATTGCTCATCTTAGTGACAAATTCCACTAAAGAGTGACTCTCCAATTTTACCCAGGTGGACTAGTGAACCACTGGATAACCAAGCACCTTCCAGTCAAGATTTTATGACACCACATACCCAGAACCTAAAATATTCAGTTTGCCTCAGCCCTAGTAATCTGGATTTAAATGACAAAGGTTGTTAGAGGGCAGTTGGGAAAGGTCACAGTCACAAATTCTAGTTCTGGAACTTTGAGATTTTGACCTTAGTTTCTCCATCTGTAAAATGTGTATATCGATGCCAACCTAACAGAGCCAGAGTTACGATTGAGTATTATAAGATCATGGGTGCAGAGCACCATCCAAGGAGCAGGGGGACTTAAAGAATATCCCCTCCCCTTCCCGACCAAACCCATCATCCCAGCACAGGCTTCCTTCTCTCACCAGGGGGTGGGCCGGGATCCGTAGGAGCTTCTCCCAGTCTTACCTGGAGCCAAAGTTTATCGTGCTGAGACCACTTCCCACCAGCAATGCACTGAAATGTGGCATTCTGTCCCACGTTTACCTCGACGTTTTGCAGTCGCAGAAAATGAGGTGCTTTTCCTAAGAGAGAAACCAAAGAACACATGAGGACAGGATTCAGCAGCCTGTGCCACCTCCCTCTAGGCGGACAGCAGCTCAAAGTGGGCACTGGGCAGGGTGGGACCAGGGCTTGGGAAGTGGCCTGGCCCGGTGAAGAGTCAAGCGATCACTTACTACGAGTTGGGCACTGTCCTATGAGCATGACACACAGTATCTCACCGAAACCACACAAAAACCCATGAGGAAGGCAGTACCCCCAGTTCACAGATCAGAACATGAAGGCTCTGAGGGCTTACAAGGTTTGGCAAAACCAGACATCCAGATAGCAGGGGAGCCAAGACATGAACTCAGGTCTCTGAGACCCTCAAAGTCCCTCTACTAGCTGCTGTGCGACTCCACCCTGGGAAATGGGCAGACACATCCCTAGAATATACCCTAACTGGCCATTGCTTCTGGGGCTGGCACTGGGTGAGAGGCGGAACCAGGACACCGCGAAAGGTGGAGAAGGAGAAAAATTGGAGGCGGGGTGAGGGGGCAGATATTCACCATAGAAGGCACTTCCCTGGAACCTGAACAAGCAGAAGGAAGAAAGCTGAAGAGAAGCACCTTTGGGCCTGAGACTTGCACACTTGGCCTTGGTGGATATGCCACAATGAAGACGGTGAGGAGGACGAAGAGTGGAGGAAGGGGAAGAGGAGGAGGGAAGAACCAGCAGCTGTCACTCACGAAGCGCGGGCTACGTGGTCAGCACCCTGTGCAGTGCCTGCCGGGGGTGACTCGCTTAGCCCCATGCAACAGCAGAGGCAGCATCTCTATTGTACAGTGAAGGAACTGAGGCACAGAGAACTCGAGAACCTTTCCCGAAGTCACAGGACCCCAGCGTCTCAACTGGAAGTGAAGGCCCCCCCTGAGCATGAGGGGAGTGGTGATTCTGGGGCCTGGGCAAGACAGGGAGAGGACGTTCAAAGGGAAACCAGGGAGTCTGTGAACAGTCGGTCCTAGGATTCCGCATATGTTTTGTTGGGTAACTTGGGTTCCCCTCTCTCCTCGTTTGTGGAGATGGGTTCTCGTCTCCAGATAACACTAATACCAGCTCTCCACAGGCTGATAACCTACGTCTAGAAGAATGAGCTCTCCATTGACGCACAGCAAAGGAACCCTGCCACCACCAACCAAAGCAGTGATGAACCGGGCACAGAACACCCCGGAATGGGACCAAATGGAGAGTTATGGGAGGATCAAGCAGGTTCAACAAAGGCCTCTGGCCCTCTCTTCAGAAGGAGTTAAATAATCGTAATAATGTCATTTGTGGAGAACCCCTACAAGGCCAAGTACTATTAAATATGACAGATGCTTTGCATGTTTTTTCTAATTTAACTTCATGACATCCCTGTAAAGCAGATGCCATCATCATTTCCCTTTTAGAGAGGCAGAAGAAACCAAGGCTCAGCAAGTTTAATGTGCCTAAAGTTACCCAGCGTTAGAGAGAGTCAGAAACAGGGTTTGGTCCAGCTCCACTCTAGCTCCAAGCTCGGCATGTAACTAGCACGTTCTCGAGCCTCTTGGATGTTGGGAACGAAGATGGCACCAACAGATAGACCTCAGGGTGCAGGGAAAGGGCTCCCAGGCAGGGCTGTGCTGACTGCCGGGCTCTCCTCATTGTCCCCAAATAGTTTACCACAAGTGATCCCTTTTTTTTTTTTTTTTTTGCTATTTTTTCTTGCTTTGAACTACCCTGTCTACCAAACTACGTCACCACCTAGAAAACTCAGCAAAAGCCAAGAACTGTGGCATGATTAGGCAGACTCGCTGTGAGAAAACAAATGCCTCCTGCTCAGGTTTTTAAACTAATGACAACATCTCAAGAGATCCCGCATTGCCACCTCTGAGACCCCACACCAGTCAAGGGTCCAAGGCCCAGGGAAGACCACTTCTTGTGGGTTCTCAGAGTTTTGAGATTCCTGCATCCAGTCAACCTGCCAAATGTCATGCTGCTTTGATTGTCTGAAATTGTTTCCTTTCTGCTCTCCTGTATAATTTTGCGAAGTTATTTTTGGACAATTCTTGAAGCGGGAATAGAGTGAACCCTGTAAGTCTGTTTATGCCACAGGTTTAAAGGGGGAGGGGACATCCACTCCACAGAGAAAGGAAGTGCAGAGTCTTAGCTCCTGTGTTGGGAAACTCTGTATTGGGTTTTACAAAGGGATGCCCTTTGGGACGCTGGGAAAATGGTTTGACCTCTGGGACATGTGCAATTAGCAATGACTTTTCTCTGGATTAATGTCCTTGCTTACTTGTAAATGTTCTCCACTTCTTCCATCTTTCATTCCTTTCCCTCCCTCCCTCCCAGCTCTAGGAGTACAGGATTTAGATGTTTAATGGTTCCTAGTGCTAATGTTCTGGGGAAACACTGGCAATTTACTGCAGAAGGTAGGGCCCATGCAAGAGCCACACGATTACGTAAATGAATAAAGTTGTTCCGTTGTAAAACAAAACAAAACCCCCACCTCCTTGCCCTGTCTTTCATTTTCCCACTTTTGATAGAGACTTGGGTAACATAGAGATTTCTCTATGTAAGAAAAGTGGTGCTGTGAGCATAATAATAGATAATAACTATTAGAGATAATAACTAGTATCTGATGGCAGCCTTAGTGCTGGGGAGGCAATATGGAGTGGTGGGGATTTGGGAGAACTGGAGAGAGACCCTGTGCCCCACTGAAAGTGGGACAGATGCTGCTTCAATCCAGCAGCGGGAGAAGGCCCTGCGTGTGTGCTTTGTTCAGGGGCGTCAGTCGTCTGAGTTCTCAAGACAAGTAAGAAATCCAGGTTTTATATGAAACCTCTTCTTCTAAATTTTTAACATTTTATTAAAACACCTTATGGACTTAACAAAACATGTTGGCAGGCAGGCTCTATCAGTGTGTGGTCTCTGATAGGTAGCTCTGATGTAAGTCACCTGGATCAATTTGCACTAGCCAGTCCTGTCCCATTTAGCCCCATAAATCCAGTGACGTCCCACCACCCCCCTGCCATGCAGTGTGCTGCAGGAGTCACATGCATGCTAGCCCAGTGGTGGGGCTTATCTGTACCACCCTCCTTTTGCTCAGGGTTCTTGTCTTATGCCTTTACTCTTGTCTTTGCTCTTTGGGGTTCACGGTCATCCCTGGCTCATGACAGACATCACTCTCTGGGGGTCGTCTTTATGCTGGGAACCTGTTTGGTCCTCATCTCTGGGCTCTGGGCCTCTCTGACCCTCCTCCTCCCATACTCTCACACCACACTCCTCTTTAGCCATCCTCTCGACTGTCCCCATTCCCCCAGCATCCGCTGTTCTGGGAGAGAAAATATTCCTCCAGCTTCAACTCACCCACCTTCAGCCAAATGCAGTTGACCTCAGTGCCCAGGCCAGCTACCAGCTCCTGGTGCTAAGCATCCCCCACCCACTCCCCGCCAAGACCCAGCTCCCCAAAACTGGGATCCTACAGAATGGGGTTAACAGAAAACCAGCTGTGCGTTTGGGACAAAAGGCCTTGATGTTGGTGACATTCAGACTCCTGCAGATGTCAGTGCAGCATCTGAAGACGTATTACCGTACCCTTTATCTTGCTCTTCAAACCTGGCAGTGCTCAGTAGGAAGCCGCACCGTGGAGGAGAAAGTTCAGTGCGTCTGTTGGAAACGAGTTGCGGATGCTCTGTAGGCTGAGGGACCTGGCCCGACAAGGTTGTGATGCGGAGAGATAAAAAAGAGTCTATAAAAATTCTAAAAGTCAGCTTAGGAGCTAGAGATCTCAAAACCGAGTGGAAAACCGCGCTGACATTTATCGTAGGTAGTTACAACCGTGGTGGCCGTGCTAATGGCTGACACTGAGAAAGAGCAGTGGAGGGTAAGCACGGCTAGAACTCTCTTAGAATAACACAAAAATGTTAAATGGGCTATAAAATACGGACAAGACGTTTCGGTTTGTAAGAGAAAATAATCTCCTTTGAGTAGCACGCCTGTCTTTCGGTCGCGGCCTTGGAAGCTGCAAGGCGGGCGTCTGCGGTCGTAACTCCAGCTCCCATGGATCCAGGGCACAGCGGCAAATCCGCCACTCGCGCCCCTGGAACTTTCGGAATATTTAGAGGAATCACTCATTGATAAACTCTGACCATATGTTAACAGAAAACATGTTTTGGGGGACAGAAGGGGAGAATTAAAAGGCCTGACGACATAAAGGGAATGCATGTATCTCAACATAGTTAAATTTTACATAGTCCATGAGTGAAGCCACGAACACGGAGCTGGGGTCGGGGGACAGCACTCTCGGTCCGAGGACAGTTCAGGAGCCACTAGCTGGTTGCATGACAGGAAATCCCCTCTGAGCAGCCCCAGGGGCCCACGGCTGGCACCTGGGGAGGCAGCGTACTCAGCTCTCCCCAGACACGCGCCACCTTGCATAAGCCTGAAATGTGCCAGTGCGCCATCTTGGATGCCTCCGTCTCCCAGCCTGACCCGTCGATAAGACCAGCTGGCCCTACCTCCTAAACATATCTCTAATCTGTCCACCTCTCTCCACCTCTATGCTCTATGTCTCTTCACAGCACTGCTTACTACCTCTCATGGGCTCAACTGTGACCTCCCCAAATTCAAATGCAGAAGCCCTTACCCCCACTAGCCCAGGCTGTGAGCAGATTTGGAGACAGGGCCTTTAAAGAGGCGGTAAGTTAAAATGAGACCTTTAGAGTGGGCTGTAATCCAATCTGACCGGTATTCTTAAAAGAGGAGGACATCTGGACACAGGGAATGACATCAAGGACCCGTGAGTGCAGAGCAAAGACTGCGTGAGGACGCATCAAGAAGGGGACCGTCAACACGCCTAGGAGAGAGGCCTCAGAAAAAAAACCAGCCCTGCCGACACCTCGATCTTGGACTTCCAGCCTCCAGAACTGTGAAAAATACATTTCTGTTGTTCAAACCACCCAATCTGTGGTATTTTATTGCGGCAGCCCCAGCAAACTAATACACCATCTGTCATACGTCATGCAATTACCTCGTTATTTGTTTTATTTTCAGCCCCTGGGGACAAAGAATGAATCCATCTTCTTCATGCCCACAAACCCAGAGCAGTGCCTGGAATGGAGTACGTGCTCCGTAAACAGTTTGGGCCACCACCATCTCTTACATGGTTCCAGAATGTTCTTTTAGGTCTCCTGACTTCTTCTCTATGGCCCTTCAACTCATTCTCCATGGGGCAGCCCAAGTGGTCCTTCCCCAGCATAACTCCCTCCAGCGGGGCCTCCCTGCACTTAGATTAACATCTAAGCTGCTCACCTTGATGCCCAAGGCCCCAGCTTCCCTGGCCAACACTGGCTCCAGCCACTCTCTCCTGTGCTTTTTATGCTCTGGACATGCTGGCAGCATCGAGCTGACTGCCACCGTGGGGCCCCTGCACCTGCTGTTTCCTCTGTCTAGAATGCCCCCTCCCCAAATCCTTACACAGTAAACTCCTTTCTATAATTCGGATCTCAGCTCAGATCACATCTTCAAAGACATGATGTCCCCTGACCACTGTATCTAAGAAGCCTTCCCACATCCCAGTCAATCACATATCTTATATTCACAGCACTTTTCATTGTCTGAAATTATTAGTTACTTATTTCATACTAGTTACTTACTTAGTGCCTTTCCCTCCTCTGGCCCTCCTGCTAAGTGAGCACCAGTAGAACAGGGACCTAACCTTTTTTAGGCACTTAAGTATCCACCATGCCCAGTAAAGTTCTTAACACCTAGCTGATGCTCAATTATTTACTTGTACAAAGAAAGGAGGGATAAAAACCTGGGCTAAGTGTGAACCGAGCACCAGTCCTTAGGAAGGGCCTTTGCTAGGCTCTACTCAACATCTCATGACTTGTGCGCTGGGAAAACACCTCAGACGACTACATACACAGCCCGTGTTTGTACATATAGTTAAATGGAATTTTTTCCAATTGCAGCCACTCTTCCAGGGTCTTCACATTGTGGTTTCTGGGAAGTTTATGCTTCAGATGCCTAAACACTGAGGCTGAGCTCAGCAGAAGCACATTATGCAGGAATAAGGCCAGGGTCACGTCTTCCTGAATTATGTCCTATGGCCCACTTGCTGGGTAATTGGCTCTCGGCAATTCCATAAGTGTGCAATCCATGATCTCAGCAGGGGGAGGACGAGTTTGCTGGGAGAATCCTAAATTCAGGAGCAGCTCTAGTGACAGGAGGGTTCCAGGAGGAACCATGAGACTTTGGGGGTGAACAGACATCTGGATGCCATCCAGAGAACTCCTCCCCTCCCCATGGAGATTCATCAGAGAGGAGGAGGAAACATCTGCCTGTGATGGCAGGCCATGGTCAGCACTTGCAGGTGAGGCAGAGGTGCTGCCAGTCTGGACTTGAAGGTGGTTGAGACTGGGATGAGAGACAGGGGTCAAGGTTGGGCATGATGGTGGAGGTGAAAATTCTTATTTGAGCACAGAGTTCTGGGATCCAGGGAGAGAAAGCCATGCTGTTCTCTCCTGGGAAGAGCCGAGTGTAACCTGCTATTAATAGAAAGGCCAAGTTCAAGCATCAAGCATAAGGTAGGAAGCAGGAACACAGGTCGATGCAGCAAGGGCAAGCATGCTGCAAGGACGGGATGTGTGCAGGGCTTGAGGAAGTCGGAGGCTTGTTTCAGAGAAACCGCATCAAATCTGGTGCTGTGCAGGGTTGAGGGTATGCAAACAGACTACAGGTAGAGCAGACCTCTCCCAACACAGTTTCCCAGTCTTAGGCCAAAGATCATTCCCCAGTGGGCAGCTGACACCAATTCACAGGAGTTAAGGGAGAGGGAGATTTAATCCTGGTAAGGTAGACTTGTCTTCACATCCACTGGATAAGCCCTGTACAGCGGGGGGGATTTCTGAGATCCCCTTCACATGACGTCTCACTCAGCAAAGACATTTCCCAGATGTGCTGAATGGACAGCCCCATCTGAGAAATTCTAAAAGGCCTAGGGAGTAATCTAGAGGGTAGGGACCCCAAGCCGATACAATGGAGAGTCCAGTAGGATCTTAGCATTCCCGAAATGCTGGCTGATTCCTGGGAAGGAAGGCCTTCCTTGCACAGGACCCAAATACAGTTTCCCAAAATATTGTCTGGAACTTTGGAACTTGTCCCAAATTCCTCCAGGGAAGGTGCTCTAAGAACAGTGAGTCAGACAAAGGCATTCTAGTGCCAGGCAGAGGGACAGAAGTGATGTTCGAGGGTCTGACAAATTCACTGCAGCAGAAGTGGAAACAGTCATTTCAATTAAAGTAATATGGATGGGGCTGAAATGAGAACAGTCCCTAAGTGGGTGGACTGAAAGGCACATAATGAGAGGAGTGTACATGGCATCTCTCCAGACAGCAGCAAGCTGCACCACGGCCCCTAGCATGACTCATGGCCATATGGGGGAGTGGATAGAGCACCATTACAGTTACCTAGAACCAATGACTGCCGAGAAACTAATGGGAATCTGCAATCTACAACATAATCACAGACGTGGGGCTGGCATCCCAGCTGCCCCTCCCAGGGGCTGCCATAATCTACATGCATATCCTCCTGACCAAATATCACTAGGTACGATGTCATCCCAACTACCTGCACCCAGGATTTGTCCCCTCTGAGATTCAGTGAACCAAGGAACCATATCTCCCTGCTGAAACACATTCACGTATCTGAGACTAAATGCAGCAAAGGAGTGGATGGGCATGATGGAGTGGCACGCTTTTGAGGACTCTTGACACTGCTCCATGAGTGCTAACCACTATGAGAAACCTCCCTCCCAGCATGGAGCTGATGAGTGTATTTAAAATTACTTTTAAAGAATTAATAGCTTTGGGGTACTTTTCCCTGTGAGTGAACAGTGTGCTAATTTGCTCAGTGTTTTGCTGGTGCTCTTTTTTTTTTTTTAAGACAATTGCACAAGATTCTATCCAAAGCCCTCTAATTCTTCCACTTCAGTGGTCTGAATCCCACTAATAAACAATCAGGACTTTAGACTCCCTTAATAATGGAGAGAGATTCAAACGAAGATGTTTTGCCACTCTCTGCAAATTCCTGGAGGTGCTGCCTGTTGAACAGGCCAGCAAAATTATGGATTTATTCAGGACTGATTGCATTGAGTATGTAAGCACTTTTGAAGGATTAAAAAAGAGACAGAAAGAGAGAAAGAGAGAGAAAGCGAGAGATGATTGTGAGCTGAATGAATAGGGGGGATTGCAGCCGCCACACTACCCAGTCTGGCACAGAGCAAGGCTGTGTTGGGGGAGGGGACAGACTTACTGCAAGGATGAGCGAGGACCCGGACCTCATCCACGGCGATGTAGCCAGGATGACCCTTCAGAGAGACGGATTCAAATATCACCTGCAACACATAGGGCGGGAGTCAGTTTCACAGAAGCGATCAGCATTCATTGCAGGACACTGCCCAGCCCCCAACCCTTTACACTTCAGCTTCCTATCAGAGCCAACCAAAGAGGACTTACATTAGGGCAGCACGCTGCCCTGGCAATGAACTGGGATTTTCAAAACAAGGTTTAAAAAAAAGGGCCACACTCTGGTGACCAGCAAAAGAAGAGTCATTCGTGTGAAACATTTTTAATGTATTTCAGAAATAACACTTAAATGGAGGAAAAAAAACAACCCCAAATTGTCCTGGAAACCCCAATCCGCATCTTTCTCATACCGGTTGCAAATGAAGCACAGAGAATGACCTGCTAATATCCTAGCTTTCTTATGAAAAGCAAGAGAGCTGCTTACCTTGGAAGCTACCATAAGCAAATAAGGGTTTACCCCGATTTGATTCTTCACTCCCAAGGAATATATTCCATCTGAATTTCTTAATAATACCTCTTAAGAATAACAGTCAACCTACCCATTGGTATCCAGGAATACAGGGCAACAAGTTCTTTGAATTCTCTACTCTGATTCCCACACAAATTGTTTCTGCAAAAATTTTATAATTCAGTTAACAGCTTCCCTCATCACCCAACCTCCATCTTCACGGAGGAGATACGAATATCTGTGTGGACAGCTTGGCCAACACCTCTGACCGCTCTAATTCCAGTGGCCGTGTCCTTCATGCCACTTCAGTGCTCTCAGTCTTGTCCTTCCCTACTCCAGAAAGTGGAAATTCCATTTTCCTGTACTCTGGCACAATCTCCTACCCCCACCATCCTCTCCCAACTCGCTCTTCTCTAACCTGCTCCTCGGGCCCACGTGGTATCTGGACCTCCATTTTTCCAGAGTCTACACATCAGCCTGGACCTCTCTGCATGCTCACCAAGCCCAGGTTCCCCAGCATGTTGGCTCATCGCCCATACAAGGCTCTCCCCAACCCCAATTCCTTTGTACCTTTATTTAAACTTTGCCAAGCCTACTGCAAGTCTGCCTTTCCACTCCTGTATCCTGTACAAATGTTCCCCTTTCAACATCCACCCAACCCAATCCCAGCAGACACCCACATATTCAAGAGGCAAGAGAGGGGCTGGCTCCAACTCTTTTCCCGCTGATGTACTCTACATCCACACAATCCACTGCTGTGTCCCTGCGAGGAATGCTGGCATCCCTGACCCTGACTCCAGCTGGATTTCCCAGCCTCTTTGTTCTTCTCAGTTTTCTCTCTCCACCCTGTATCTCCAAACCCACCTTTGTATCCCTGATCTCGACATATGTTGGCAGCTTCCTGTATTCTTTAAAAACAACCCTCCAGCAACATGCTCTTCTCTAGTACCTCCCAGTTGTGTCTCAGTAACACTTAAAATTCTCAGTAGTTTTATCTTCTCTCACTCCTGACACCTCTTTCTTCCCAATGCAAAGCTTCAACCCGCTATAATCTGGATTCTGTCTCCAACACTTCCCCAAAACTGCTTTCATGGCAGACACTAATAATCTCCTAATGACTAAATCCAGTAGGTATTTTTCAATCTTTATCTTACTTGGAGAAGGAAGATAGATAGGGTAGTGCTGTAGCTCTGGATCAGAGGGCCTGGGTTCAAATCCCTGTTCTGCCACTTACTAGTGCATGACCTTGGGCAAGTTATCATACTGTTCTACCCCTCAGTTTCTCCATCTATAACTATAGTGTCTATGTCCCTGGGTAATTTTTCAGATTAAGAAAGTTAATACCCCACTCACAGCAATGCGTGGCACGTGGTACCCTCTTCACATGTGTTTACTATGTAATTATCATCACTGCTTCGTTATCATCACATTCTTCTACAATCATCAATGTTCATAGCTTCTCCCTTGCTGGGTCTCTCTTCTATTTGGGCTCAGATGACACTTCACTCTCGTGGTTTTTCTCATACATCTGGGACTATTCTACCATAGGATTGTAGGTCATCCTCCTTCCCCACCTTCCCTTCAAATGTGAGCCTCCTCTGCTCATCTTTTCACTGCACACACTTTCCCTTCAATGGCTGCCAACTCACTGCAAGCCCCCAAGCCTGGCTCTGCACCCCAGATCTCTCACTGGAACACCAGTCTCACCTGCCCAGCTCACAGCTATGTATTTCTACCTAGATGCTACGCTGATGCCTTGAATGCAAACTTTATGCAACCCATTTGAACAGCCACCCTCTCAAACCTTCTCCCACATTCCCCAATGGGCCTTCCCTCCTGAAATAGGGGACTTGGAAGGTGGCATTGTGACCCATCCAATCATCCAAGCTGAAGATCTGAGTACCTACCTGGGCTTCCCCTTCTGCCTAATTCTTCACCTTTATTTTCTTTTTGGTTCTACCTTCTTAGCATTTCTCAAATCTGTGCCTGTCTTTCCTTCTCTGTTCTCAGGATGAACTATAGGAAACAGCCTTGTTTGTAGGTCAACACCAGCCAGACATCAGTGCCACTGCTCTGGTTCAAACTGTCATCAGTTTTCATCACTACCACCTTGACAGCCTCCAGAATGGACCCTCCCTCTCTCCTTCCTTGTACTTCTCAGGTCAAGCCTGTGGGTGGTGCAATGCAAGGGTGATGAGACCAGCACCAAAACCTCCATGTGAAATCTTTTTGTGACCTGCGTGGCCATTCCAGGTGAGTGGATTCAACGGTCAGTGTTCTTGGTGGGGCCCAAAGTTCCGACAGCTGTAATATGACAAGTGTGTGGGGAACCAGTGGAGAGGCAGCGATAGCTGTGAGGAGGCAGCTTCCATGCATGGTAAGATCTATCATGAAACAGCACGTGGCTGCCTGGGAATTATACGAAGTGACCTGGGGATGACAGTCGCACCAAACATAGAGCTGCGGCACCAACATGAAGACCGCTCTGGAAGAGTGCTTTACCAAGATAACGGTCCTTCAGAGAGACTTAGCCACAAATTATGCAGGAGGTAGGGGGAAAGCTTGCAAAACTAAAGTGTGATGGCTGCCTCATCTTGAAGAGGGAGAAGTCAACAGAAGGCCTTGCTCTAAAAAAAAATTATGTGCCTAATTACATTTTTTAATAATTCAAAGGAAACCAAAAGTAGTCCATAGGAAAAAAAAACTGAAAAAAATAGAATGTACACAGTAAATGCACTTAGAAAAAATAGCATACAAACATTCAAACTGTGCAATAAAAAGGAAAAAAAGGAAAAATATTTCTGTTGTGACAATAAATATAAATGGGTTAAAATACAGAAAAGCTCTCAGACTATCTAAATAATCAAAGTCTAATTATATTCTATAAGATAAACTCCTAAAATAGAATGACTCAGTAACTTTAAAAATAATAACTTGAACAAAGATGTAATAAGGAAATGTAAATAAACAGAAAGCAGCTTTTGTGAAAATAATGAGAAAGCATCAAAGTGGAATTTTAACTAAAAGGAAAAAATTTAAAAACATTAAGTGGACTAAAATAGTCACTTAAAAAATACATGAGTTAACAGACTTAAAAAAAGAAAATGATGAAAATATCAAACAGTATTTGAAAACTTTCACCCATATCTTAAACTTTGACTAGTCAAATAGGAAAAAGCAAGTATGTATGTAATATAAATAATAATGTATTTACTAAATATATGTCAATAAATATTTAAAAAGAATGAAACTCTTATTCAAATGCTTATGTATTATTTACCAAAAAAATCATATAATAGGTCACAGTATAACTTTAATAAATCCTTCAAGAAGAAATTGTACAGGTTTGGGTCTATATATTTCCTAACCGAATTCACTATAACTAGAGATTAATGATGAAGTCTAAAAAATAAATTTCTTAGACTTATGAGATACTTTCTTAATAACTATGATGTCAAAGTATACTTTGTATGAGTTAACAAAAGTCTGAAACAAAATTAGAAGTCAAATGACAAGCTAAGAACAATATTTGTAATATATAGGATAGCTAATGGAAAAATATTCTTTTTTGTGAGTGAGGGACTCCTGAGAATCAACAAAATAAATGAATAAACCCTCCAAAAGAAAAACTGGCAAATGGCTTCAGCAGGTAATTCATAAAATAATGAAGTAGAAATGGTGTAATAATCTATAAATGCAAATTTTTAAAATGACAATGAGGATGATTAGGAGGTGCACCAGACAACACCTGCAGCCTTGGGCAGAGTTGGTCACCCTACTGATGTGCTCCTGATGTTGGGAGCTGGTCACAGGAAGCTCCCACCCAGGAGCTTGCAACTCCAGTTACTGGGGACAGACACCGCAAGGGAACAAGGTGATGTCAGGGTCTTCTGAGATGGAAAGACCTGCCCGGGTGTTCTGAGGAGGGAGAGGATGGTCATCTTCATCTTGGAGCCAAGCACACTCACAAGGAAACTCAAACCAAGGCCCTTGGGGAATGAAAATCAGGAAACGAGAGAAAAGCCAGAGGAATGGATTAAGAAGTCTGGAGGCTGCTCTGGTGCTGTGCCCTGCCCCCAACCTCAGGTCTACCTGGGGCAGGGAAGGCAGAATGGGATAGAGGACTACCGTAGACACGCTTTCCCTGGGGTGCTCCATGTCAGTATCAGAGGCAGCATATGGACCCTGATGAGTGCAAGGGCTGGGGCAGAGAGCCCAGGCTGGGAACTCCAGCTTCTCTGCAGATACTCTTCACCTCCAAGGCTGCCATGTGGACCTACCATCAATTGCACGTGCTCCAGCCCCAAGAGCATCATTAGAGACCTCCTGGTGCAGGTTTTGGGGAGATGGGGCTTGCACAGAAAAGTGCAAATGTCTCCATGTGTACATGAAATAGGGCAGAGCCAGGAAGTAATTTCCTAAGAGAAGCTCAGACATGGAGTCACACTCAGCCTTTCAAAAAAGCGGGTTGTATACATATTTAGGGGAGGGTGTAGATATGTCAGGCAGTGGTTTAAGGGACCTAGTGTTTCATCCTCACCTTTTGTAGTCCACAAGCAGAGAATATGTTACAGCAAACAT